TGCCTTTAATCTTACAAAAGCAAACAGGAGGACAGAAATAGCTCATCAATTATTTAAAATGAAAATGGCAACAATAATAAGTAATTGCCACAATAGCTCGAGGTCATGGTCTTAATTTATTGGAGGCCAGTCAAGAATTCGAAGCTCTTCTCTTAAGTTAATTTTTCACATCTTGTTTGGATCCTCGGAGTTCTTGCTTCCAAAGCGAGGTCGTCAGATTTCTCATTACACATGTTATTTTTGTTGAGGTGCCAGACATTCGGGACAGTCATGTCCTTGCTTCATGGATTTGTAGAGGCAATTCCTCCCCAGAAGTAATGCTTATTTCCAAGTCTTATAGCCCATGGAGATTTTGAATAGTTCTCTTCTCTTCCACGCCATATTAGCCTATATCATGGTGGCCAACAACAAAAACACATGCTGGTTAATTTAAGCAGAAAGGAATTTATGGGAAGGATAGGCTAGGTCAGAGCATGGGCAAGAAAGCTGGGGATCCAGCTTGGGCAAAAAACAGGGGAAGCAGAGCTTAGCTCAAGATGCAACTTCTGGGAAGCCACGCGGGGCGCGGGAGCTCATGCCCCCGGAGCGGCGGCGCCCGTCAACGGAATGCAACTTCTGGGCTCTCTACTCCTCTGCAGCCACCTCACATGCTCTCAGAAGGCCCCAGTATCTTTGTGCAACTCTCAGAATTTGAAGTCCCACATGGGAGCACCTGCTCATCTCAGTAAGGCCACTTGCCCACCTTGAGATCACATGACTGTACATATTCAGATGCCCACACTCTAGTGAGGGGGGAAGGAGGTCTGCCCATTTTCTGCTGATGTATCCTCCTCCACCTGTCTGGGGGTTCTTCCACAACAGAAAGGTGTCAGGATGCTAAGCAGCCAAAATAACCATTGCACAAACACTCGCATGCTCAATCCCATGCCCTACTGTGATCAGTTGGCCAGTTAAAGATTGGTCACCGATGTGAATTTATTTTATTCAAAGCTCACATCTCATACTAATCACCAATCTCATGTCCATCTTCATCACTTTCCTCCTCATCCTTTTCCCCATCATCATCTTTGGTTCATTCACTCCCTCACTCTCCTGGGCTACCACTTCCTTCCCTTCCTCCCACCCACCTCAGTCTTTGACTCAGCTTCTATTTCTCTGCAGAATGGAAGCAATCACAGAGGAATGTCCTCATGCTTCTGCCACCCATCGACCAACTCATCAGCAGCTGCATCTGTGCTCCACTGGTCTCACTTCACACCAACTTCACACCAGTCAAAGCCAGCTCTTCCATTTGTTGGCCAGACCCCACCCAGCAATTGTCCCCTGTCATGTGTTCATTAATTGTTCCCTCTCTAGTCGGTTCTTGCATGAGAATGCAAGTATATTATGATAATCCCCATCTTAAAACAAAAACAAACTTCCCTTGAGCCCACTTCTTCCATCAACCACCAGCTTATTTCTGTTCTACCCTTTACCAAAAAAGTCCCCCCAAATCAGCATCTATTCCTATTTATCCTCCTCCTACATCTTTTAGGTTCATTCCAATCAGGTTTTCACCCCCTTTATTCCATGCTAGCAATTTAAGGTCACCAGTGACATCCAGATGGCTCATTCCAATGGCCAGTTCTAATTGCTCATGTGTTTTAGCCTATCTACCACACTTGACAAAAGTGACCCCTCCTGAAACGCCTTCCTTGAAACACATCTTCTGTGACTACTTGGATTCCAGAACTCTTGATTTTCCTTCTACCACCTTAGGCACGCTTTCTGTCTTCTTTGCTGGCTCCTTCTCATTTTCAATTCCTAGACCTCTTCTGTGTCTACACTCATTTCCTAATTACTGTATATAATCCCTCCCAATGAATATTCCTAGTCCTGACCCCCTCCTTCAACCCAGATTCAGGCATCACATGCTCAATCCCATGCCCTACTGTGATCAGTTGGCCAGTTAAAGATTGGCCACTGATGTGAATTTATTTTATTCAAAGCACACATCTCATACTAATCACCAATCTCATGTCCATCTTCATCATTTTCCTCCTCATCCTTTTCCCCATCATCATCTTTGGTTCATTCACTCCCTCACTCTCCTGGGCTACCACTTCCTTCCCTTCCACCTACCCACCTCAGTCTTTGACTCAGCTTCTATTTCTCTGCAGAATGGAAGCAATCACAGAGGAATGTCCTCATGCTTCTGCCACCCATCGACCAACTCATCAGCAGCTGCATCTGTGCTCCACTGGTCTCACTTCACACCAACTTCACACCAGTCAAAGCCAGCTCTTCCATTTGTTGGCCAGACCCCACCCAGCAATTGTCCCCTGTCATGTGTTCATTAATTGTTCCCTCTCTAGTCGGTTCTTGCATGAGAATGCAAGTATATTATGATAATCCCCATCTTAAAACAAAAACAAACTTCCCTTGAGCCCACTTCTTCCATCAACCACCAGCTTATTTCTGTTCTACCCTTTACCAAAAAAGTCCCCCCAAATCAGCATCTATTCCTATTTATCCTCCTCCTACATCTTTTAGGTTCATTCCAATCAGGTTTTCACCCCCTTTATTCTATGCTAGCAATTCAAGGTCACCAGTGACATCCAGATGGCTCATTCCAATGGCCAGTTCTAATTGCTCATGTGTTTTAGCCTATCTACCACACTTGACAAAAGTGACCCCTCCTGAAACGCCTTCCTTGAAACACAGCTTCTGTGACTACTTGGATTCCAGAACTCTTGATTTTCCTTCTACCACCTTAGGCACGCTTTCTGTCTTCTTTGCTGGCTCCTTCTCATTTTCAATTCCTAGACCTCTTCTGTGTCTACACTCATTTCCTAATTACTGTATATAATCCCTCCCAATGAATATTCCTAGTCCTGACCCCCTCCTTCAACCCAGATTCAGGCATCAAACTGTCTCAATATCTCTTTAAAATCCAGTGGTCATTTGGATTTTCTTTGCTGCACCTGTACTCGCAGTCTTTCCCATCTCATTGAGCTTTATCCTCGATTCCTCTCTCCCTAATACCCCTCGTAGCATCCATGAGCAAATCTGTTGGCATAATCTTTGAAGCATTTCCAGAATATGGGCTCTTATTACCACATTAGTAGCTGCTACATTGGTCTAAGGTTTCATCTTCTCACACCTGGATTGTTGCAAGAGCCTCCTAACCAGCCTATTGACAGGCTCCTTAACTTCTCCTGACCACCCCACAGACTGTGAGTACGTCAGCCAGTGTAAGCGTCCTTTAAACACAGACATCAGGTCTTATCAGTCCTCCACTTAGAGCTATATGGGGCCTGCAGTCTCAGTCAGGGTCAAACCAAGGTCATTATGACGGCCCACAAGGCCCTGCATGATCTGTCTGCTCCCTTCCCCTCTCTAAGCTCCTTTCCTCCCATGCTCCCATTGGTCCAGTGCTCTCTAGCCATGTTGGCCATTGCCTGAACACGCTACTCATGTGTCACCTCAGGTGCCTTTCCACTCTTTGCTAGGTCCCAAATATCTGAGTGTCTGTCTCCCCTTCTCTCTACAGGTTTTCTATTGAGAGGTCACTACATTGGCGAGGCTTTTCCAGCCACCCTATTTGCAACCATTCCTCATCCAAATCTAGTGTTTCCTATCCTTGCCCTTCGTCATTTTTCTCTTTAGCTCTTATCACAATCTGAAATAAATATTTGCTTTTTAAACATTTTTTAAATAATTTTATAAATTTTTTATTCTCTTTTAATTTTGCTGTAGGGTTTATGCACTCTCCTTAGAGAAACAGAGAGAGAAAGAAGGAGAGTAAGAAAGTATCCTGTAGTGGGGGATGGCCATTCTACAATCCCTTCTCCTCCATTCTCCTCTCATGATTTTGGGCACAGACGTACAGATACCCAGTGTATTTTTCAAGCTGCTGGATCTAGGACTTAAATTGCTCAATTAATCATGTAGGATCCAACTGCCTTCACCACACCACCAACCGGCCCTGTTTTTCTTTTTCTTTTTCTATTGTCAGAAGGCATGTGTACTTGCCACAGAGGAGAGAGAGTACACTCGTAATTGAGTGTGGTCATACTGCAATCCTTTTTCTTCCATTTCCCCAACCTATCAGGATTTGGGGTACACATGCCTATCTGTCTAGTGTGTTTTTTCAAGTCACCAGGGCTGGGATTTGAACCACAGTTGGCCACATGGGCTCTGGCATCCTGTGTATGGTGAGCACTTAGCCAATGTGCTGTGGGCCAGCCCTGTTTGCTTTGTATGGATGTGTTTTCTGTCCCCCTGAATCTACTAGGGCTCTATTTTATTTTATTTTATTTTATTTTATTTTATTTTATACATTCAATCACATTATTATTTGACTTACAAAATGGATATTTCAACAGGTGAACATTTCTCCCTAGTACAGTTGATAAAACTACAAGATATCTTCAACAGATAATACAACATTTCTTTGTGCCTTTAATACTTTGCCTCCCTATTTTTCTTCTAAATGTCCTTCCTCAGACCCTCCTCTTTCACACACACTATATCTGGTATTTACATCTATATACTGTGTTTCTATATCCTTTAGTCAATCAGTTTCAGTCATAGAGTGCAGACACTCGGTATATATCAAGGACTTTGTTTTATATGCTGCTCTTTCCTCGGCATGTGGAGTAATGACTAGCATGTCATAGATACTTAAAAATAACCAAATAATTAAGTTAATGTATGAGCAAATTCCATATATAGATTATTAAATGTCTTATGATTTTCCACATTTAATGTACAGGATTTTGTGTGAGCTGCGTAACAGTCTAGTGAGGTAGGCAGGGCAGAGCTCTGTGGCTTTGATGAGAAGTTGAGGTCTGAGGGAGCTCACTGATTGTCCAGGGATGCATGACTGAGTAATGGGGTTCCTGGGACTTGTAATTCTGATCCCAGTTTCTGGTCCTCACCCTCAACTACACCTTGATGCCTCATGTTGCATTAGTGTCACCTGTACAGCATTAATTGTGATTTATTTTTCATTGCAGTGTTGATGAGAAAACCCAGTATCTAGCTTTGGGAGCTGTGAAGAATCTCTCTCTAAACATCTCTATTGCCAACCTTGGGGATGATGCCTATGATGCCAACGTGTCATTCAACGTTTCCCGGGAGCTCTTCTTCATCAACATGTGGCAGAAGGTAAGGAGGGCACCCTCGGAAGAGGGCCTTTGTTCCACCTAGTACGCTTGCTGACTTTTACCATAGCTTGGAACATGCTGATTCCACCAATACTGTTCCTTAATGTGGAGTGTCATTTGAAATTACTTGATTTTTTTTCTCTTGTATTTGAAAGGAAATATATGTTTGAACAGCCACAGAAGAAACCATAAATACTTACAGAGCACTGGGGATTATCCTTGATGTACATTGTCTCCCATCCCTTTTCTCTCGAGAAAACCCACTCCCTATGATTTTATGTCTGGCCCCTTTTCTGAGATGGTACAGTCCCTGTCTCCAGCACACAAACGTTCTATAGAATTCTAGGTTTTGGTCTAGTTGTTGTGAAACACAAGATAGGAAAGAAAGACCACCACTGCTTAACATGCTTGTTATCACCATTGAGGCACTTGATGATTTCTGTCAGAAGGGCATTAATGTCCATCTATACTTTGACATATTTATTTCTTTTCCTGGCCTATTGAATTGAGTGAATTCAGTTGGATGAATGGAGGAAATTACGTTACTTCCATGAATGGAGTGATGTTTTTTAGAGTGAAGTATTTATTGGAATGAATTAAAGTTTAGGTAGCATAACCCAAGAAGAAAACAGGAACTGGTATTCCCTCGTATACCCCCAACCATTCTTAAGGCACCAACTTTGGGAAGGCCTAGACCAGGCCCCTCCACAGGCAACAAGGAGGAATGAGTGGAATCAAATAGACTTCATTTTTACCCAGCGATTAACCTGTTGGCAGCTATTCAGATGGGAATGTTTGCAATTTTGCAAAATGCTCACTGCACTGAACTGTGGCACTTTGGTCTCCACATTAAAATGGACCCAAATCACTTTCTGAGATAAACTCGCTTGCAACCCACAGACCACTGGGTGCACATTTGAGCAGGTGAGAAGCTTCCTGTTCAGGGATGTATCCTGCCAGGCGCAACAGTTTTAACAGGATGTGCCAGCTCTACCCAGCCCAGGAGCTGACATAGGTATGTAGAGCCACCAGAATGGCACAGCGCTCTGAGAATTTCCCAAGAGGTCATCTCAAATTCTCTGCTGCTTAATTGCTTTTAGGAGCTCAGAGGGTACAGGAGGCCACAGAAACAATCAAGGACTGCAGGAAAACACTTTCCTTCTACCTCCTATATCCTAAAAAGGATCTCTGAATTTAGCCCAGTCAAGAGAGAATCAGGATTTGTTTGGGCTGTAGTCCTTGAGTACCTACTAATTGCCAGGGACTGTATTAGCCACGAGGAGGCAGTGAGATGAGTGAGATGGAGTCCTTGCTCCCATGGAGCTCACAGCCTGATGGGGTCCCAGGCATGTCAACAAGCAAGCAAAGTGCAAGGTGCCGGCTATTCTGTGCAGCTGCTGAAACGTTTCTTCAAAGTATAGGGATGACAAAGAGAAACAAGTCATTACTGTAATAGCTCATCCTATGGTGGAAAAAAATCCCCCAACAAATGCTTAAGGTAGATTGATGAGCCTCTAAAGAAGCTGGTGTTAGCTGCTGCTAGTGTTGCAGAGCTAGAGGGTAGGGTTGGATGAGGTGGGCTCATTTATTTGTCAGTTAAGGAGGGAGCTGGGCAGAAGTAGGGTGAGAGTGCAGAAGAGACATAAGAAGGGAGGAGCAAGAGAGAGAACCCAGCAAGAGGAAAAGAGACTGCCCAGTGTGGAACAAAGGGCCGGTAACATTCCTGGTGGCAGGATGGCATCAGCGTATTTGAGAAATGTCAATGCCACTGTTCTAAGCTTATAAGTTAGGACTCCTGCATTCATGAATACTGTGAGTGACCAAGTGGAAAGGAACAGTGTGTGTAACACCAAGATAGAGCTGGGTTCCTATGAACATCTTCATAGTATTGACTGTTATGGCACATGTGGAGATAGACATAGACGCAAAACCGTCAGCGTCAAGTGCTGGATGAGGGCTCCCTGCTGACTTTAGGGTATAAAGGAGACTCAGTAGTTTTCCACAGAGTTACAGAGAAGGCCATGTCGGGAGAAAAGGTGGAACAGGGACAGGCTTCCTGACCCCACTCTCACATAGTGTGTAGTGATGTAATGATGCCATCTTGGTTTGGGTCTCCCAGATGCTGACCTTGAGGCAAGGAAGGTCAGTTAGTTTATTCGAGAGATATGGAATAATGGTAGGGAAGTGGAAAAATTATATAAGCAGGTAGAGGCAGCAAAAGAAAAGTAAGCTGTTAAACTAGCTACCACAGAGGGCATGGGGACTGAATCCTGCAGGGCAACTCTGGGAAATAGTATAAACCTGTTAGGAGAGAGTGAGTGGGGGTATTTATACCCCCACAGCATCCACACCAAGACTCGGGGGCTAAGGCCTTTTGGAGGTGTTCCTTCCCAGTACTTCTGCCCTACCATGTGCATGGCTGGTGTGACCTACACAGATCTGAAAAATACTCTCTCAAATAGAGAGTTGTAGATGCTGGTAGTTGGCAGTGAGCTAGAGCACTACACAAGGTGCAAGTCGTGTGGGTGGGACTGACCAACTGCTAAAAAGGCTCACAGGGCTGGAAGAGTCTCCAGTCTAACCATCTCTCTTTTAGCCTCCTAAAAGTTATAAATTGACCTAATAGAACCTCACCAGGGTTCTAGCACAAGACCCAGTGGCACACACCTCATAGCTTTTGGGGGGTGGCAGAGGAGGGCATGGCAGGTGTTGTCAATGGGTGAAGAGAACCAGGTGTGGGATGACAGTAGAAAGCAGCAGTGTCTGGGAAAATGGAGGATTCCAGCCTCACCCACAGGGGTAGCCAGCTCACAGCAGCACTCAGGAGCCAGGTAGGAGAGAGAACCAGTACTATCAGACTCTATTTTTCCATTAAAAAAAAAAAAAAAAACAGAAATCCACATTTTTATGTTAAATCTTATGACGTAAGCAGCAAATTCAATGTTTTTGAACATGGAACCAAAAACATGTCCACTGACTGTCTAGCCTGTAGGCCACCAGTCAGTGACCTTCAGCCTAGCTATTTTCCACATGTTCTAGTCCCAGTCTCTTGCCCGCCTGTTTGGATGGATCTACATTTCTGGTGGAACTTGATCTGTCTGTAGTCTTACTGCATTTCACATCACTCCCTTAGCAGCAGATAAGCTAGCAAGAGATGGAGTTCGGGGGCTTTGGGAGTGTGTGTTTTTAGGGAACGGAGGGCAACGGAGGAGGTCAGCCCAAATGCAGTGTTTGTATAATTTTAAAAACAATGTTCTGAAAACTATTTGCAGGCTGGAGCATTTGTGCTTCAGGGTGATTGCAAGAAGCAACTAAGCTGGAGTTCAGGTTGTTAGAAAGGAAGTAAAATAATAGGGAACCAGAGTGGATTAGGGAGGAAGCTTAGCGCTGGCTACGAGCAGACGAGCAGACGCACAGTTGAAATTCCAGCTTTGCTTATTGCCCTCAGTGTGACCATGAGCCAAGGGTCTTCTCTCTGTATCTCAGTTTCTTCCCGTATAAGTGGGTTGTGCTGAGGGCTCAATGAGGCCTATACCAGGCTACATGTACATGGTGGGTCCTACTTTGGTAGCTCAGACTCCATATACAAGGTCAGACTTGACAGATTATTCATTTACTCGGAAGGTATGTATTGGTAACTGTTCTAGTTCGCTTTGTTGCTAATAGCAGAAACACTTGAATCTGTGTTCAGTCTATAAAGAATATAGACTTATGTAACTCACAGCCTGGAAGCCCAGGGTCCAGGGACTGCATCTAGTGGGGCCCTTTTTGCTGGTGGGTGACACGGCAGGTAATATCACATGGCGAGAGAGCAGGAGTGAGCGTGTCTGTCTGTTACAAATGCATGAGTATCCAACCTGGGGGCTCCACCCTGATCCTAATTTCCTCCCTAAGGCCCCACTTTCAACACCCTAATTGGATTAAGTCTCCACCACACCCTTACGATGACAAATTTTAAGACATGAATTTTGGGAGAGGCATTCAGTCTACAGCAATCACTTACTTCACACAGAGTCAATGCTGAGGGGGAAGGAAAAACAAAAGTAAGAATATAAAACATGACATATAAGTCATGAGGTATTAGTTCTTCCTTTAACCAAAAAAAACTCAAGTCGTAGTCTTTTTTATTAAGAATTTTTTTAACTTTATTTATTTTTTAATTTGACCTGAGAGGGAAGGTGGTGGGGGAGAGAGAGAGTGAATGAGAGAGTAAGCCACCAGATCCAGGACTCGAACCGCAGCCAGCCATGTGGAAGTCCAGCGCCCCTAACTACCACGCCACTTGCCAGCCCCTCAAGTCATAGTCTTAATAAAGGATTGAGTATGTGTGTGGATCTGGCAGCCAACTGAAAAGAAAAAAAAGAAAAAAAGAAAAAAAAAAAAAACAGTGCTAAAGTGCTACTTTTATATTTAATAAATTCCGTTTATTTAAAAACATAAATTGGGCCTGTCTCATGGCCTAATAATTAAGGGAGTCAGATCCTACATGGCCAATTGTGATCTCAATCCTGGCTCTGGGAGCTTGAAAAACATGCCAGGACACATGTGTGTGCGCCCCACAACCCACAGGAGGTGAGACGGAGAAGGAATTATGGGTGACCACACACCACTGGGGATGCTTTGTCTGTCTTTGGTGAGTGCATGTCCCCTCTGGCGTATATAAATACATACATAGATAGCCTCCCGTGGTGGCAGCAGGACATGGTGGCAGGCCAGGAGGATCGGCCTCGCACACAATTCACCAGGTATGCCCTGTCATAGCCCAGGCCTGGATGCCTCCCTTCATATACTCACTGGCTGTCATGGCCATCACCCTGAGCTCTGGCAGCAGGAAGGAGTCTATGTGAAAATGAGTCCGTCATGAACCTGGAAGAGCTCTTTAGGGCAGGCGTGCTGGAGAAAATGGAGGAGTACCTGGAGTCTACCACCCAGAAGGGTGACACCTCCTATGTCCCCACATTCCTACGCACTGACCAAAAGTTCCTCATCAACCAACCAACA